CACATAAGCTTTCCGGTAGTGTCCATTTGCAATGTGAACCAACTGAACTGGGAAAGGCTGGAAGAAGCCAAGCGACGTTATCTGAAGCCCGATGTAACGGCGAAAACTCAAGAACTCTTTGAGCTTGTTGTTGCTAGTTTTGATCACATAAAGTTTGCCGGCTTTCAGAGTTTTATGAAATTCGAAAACATCTCTCTCGATGCGTTGAACTACGTCAACTTTACCGAAGTAATGATATTTATGACTTGGCGTTGCGAGGAGTTCTTGAGTCATTGTGTGTGGAGTCATTTCCCCATGAACTGTTGTGACATCTTCTCTTTGCGACGCAGCANTTCAACACCGTGGAAACGGATGAGGGACGTCAAAAGCAAAAGGTTGATGCACTGTGGCCTTGGCATACAGGCGCCGCCAGTCCGGGTAGTGGACTCATCGTACGCGCGCTAATCAATCCTCAGAAACACTATCCGAGAAGCACCAACGAGAAGGGTGTTAATGTAAATGCAGAAATATATATATGTACTTTAAAAAATAAGATATTAATTAACAAAGAGTCTTAGGTTATGATTTCGGAGCCAAATGTGTGGCATACGGACCCTATCAACATATTGGAAAATATGCATGCATTGGTGGACGTGGAACCCGAAATGTATTTTTACGACAATACTACTCAGCGATTGAGTTCTAAGCAAAGAGAGTGCATTTACAATGTAAGCAATTACCCGGAATGGAATTGTTTGAAAAAAAATTATTTAGTGCCATAACCAACTGTTTCTGAGAGTAACACTTACAGTACACATACGTAAATATAACTGAAGATTTAATGGCATTTCAAATACCCATATTCACCTTTTATCAAATCCTTTGATTTTCCCTTTCAACAAGAAAAAACAATACGCAGTCCCCATTAAAGCAACTGTACCGCTTTTACTCAGTCCGTAAGTATCGCATTGGTCAACAAATTGCGTTTTACTGCGTTGACCCAGTTCCAAAAAAAAGTTTCTGCGGTGACAATCATCAATCCTTGGAGATTCATCTAATATCAATCGGATAAAAACAATTAGTTTTATAAATAGATAATCCTGGGCGTGATCGAAGGCTTTTTTTTCAAAAATTAACTAAATGGCGGCCTTAGGAAATTTTTTTTTTGATTTTTGGGAAAAAAGGGGTCTTAAAAAATCGAAATTTTTGGAAAAAAATACTTCGATCAGGCCCGAGTTTATTATGTATTCTAAAAGCTGTATACATTTCGTTAAAATCTACTGAGCGGTTTTCGAGTTACAGCTGTCACCAGTTCGAAAAACATTGTTTTGAGAAAAACACATTTAAAGTTTATTGCAGCTGCCGCTATCTTCCTCCTCCCGAGCGCTTTGAAGTGCCCGAGCGCTCTTTGTTATTTGTAGAATAACTCAAAAAATATATATCGGATCAACTTGAAATTTTCAGAGTATATTTTCAAGATATTACACGTAACGAAATGCAAAAAAAAAAAAACAAATTGATTTTTTGAAAATTCTGACTACCCCTAACCCCTTAATAACTGTCAGTGTTGAAGTCGTTTAGCTGGCTCTCTACATTTAGAGTAGCATTCTAATGAAGGTAAGTACTCACATCGCATACACTTTCGCTGTTCTTCAAGATATGAAGTTTGTGTTGAATACAAAAGTAGTTCGGAACGATTCAAATCGAAATTAGTTTTGTATTAGTATCCATTTCAAACGTTTTTTCACACATCGACTGGTTTTTCCGATCATCCATCTACATCTCTATTTGCGGATCAGTTGTAAAAAGATGTTTTTCATTAATTCCCTCCGAATTGCTCTATCTCACAAATATAAACCTTAAGCTCACAAAAGCTCATACTTTACAAATTAAAAATTAGCAGGCAGAAATTAATAGCTCGAAATTCGAAAAAGTTAGAATTCAATATTAAACTAATTTTAACAAGATTGATGCAACTTTACAAAATATACTTATGTTAATGGAGTATTCACTAAACCTAACTAATTTCAACTATATACCGGTTCTTTCAAGACTTCCATTCTTACTTATTTATATACTCTTTATTATGAAAGATAAAGTTAGAAAATCATAAAAAATGTGGGCGCGGCTCGATTATTATTCTCCTATTTACTCAGTCACTAAAAAAGCTTGCATTGAATTTACAATTATTCCTAAAAATGTTTCTCTTTCACTTGATTTGTTAACCGTAAACCAGGACGAAAGGAAATCCACGTATTTTCGTACACTTCATGGTTATGTTTATATGATTGAAAATTGCCAATCGGAGTGCCATCAACAGTACTTGTTGAAATTTTGTAACTGCACATTGGATTTGCTATTTCCACCTGGTAAGCACGTACAACCCATCAAATGCAAAACTCACTCTCTCGCCAATTTATCATCAATAAAACACGCACACTCATACTCGCAACATGCAGCACACATTCACTTTAGGGTAATTTCACTACTTAAAACTTACTTTATTTGCGTTTTCAGGACCCTATCCCAGCTGTCAAGCGAAGGACCTGTTGTGTTTGGCGCAGAATAATGGTAAGACACAAAAGTTTACTTACTCATTCTCGCTCTCTCACTGTCGCAGTCTTGCCCTTCTCCTACTTTTTGACCCACTTTATTTGCAGATCGCTTTCTATACTCTCGCAGACAGGAGAAGAAATTATATGTACGCAACTATGATGAGGCCATGGTCTGTGACTGTTTCCGCAATTGTCACTCGCTCAAATATAAAACGAATGAACGCTCAACATCTCTATCGGAGAAAACGCGTGATAATCACTCATATGTCGTCTTAGATATACATTACCGTTTCGATACAATGATGGTTTATCGCACAGGTTTAGTCTTCGGTTGGGTAGACTTAATAGGTAAGTTGGTGACGCAGCTCTCTCTTTTTCGCTTAAGCTGTCAGTTTGCGGTATATTGTTGATTTCAGTTGCCTTCGGTGGACTTGCGGGTCTCTTTCTCGGCTGCTCGCTAATTAGCACCATGGAGTTGGCCTACTTTTTGCTCGTCGACCTGCCCACCTTTGTGCTGCAAAAATTTCGCAACAATAAGAGTAAAATGCAAAATAAACCACATCCGGGCGTTAGACCCTTGCAACATTTGCAAGTAAAAAATAATAATTGGAAGCAACAATTGAACAGGAAAAGCCAGCTTATTGAACCACAAAGCTACGAAAGACTGTACAATAATATCAAAATTAACGGCAGGCCGCCGCTTATCACAGACTGGCAGGCGCCACAAATCGCTAAAATACACCACTGGAGAAGCTTTATTAACAAATGAATGATAGGGCGATTTAATGATATTAATTTTAAACATAAATTACTTTTTTATTAAACTATATTCTTACCTAGTGCTTAAATTAAAAAATGTTACTACACATTACTCTGAATATTTACTGAATACTCAATGCATAAATAAAATAACTTAAAAAACCAGTAAAGCCGTAGCTTTTGGTTAAAGATTAAATACTCTCGTAATTTTTAAGAATCAAAGACATATTTTATTTTATATAATGAACATAAGTAATACAAATCACTATACACATCATTTTTGTACTGGGGGAGGTACAAAGCGATATCACTAAGTTTTACTACCGAGGCATATAACCTTAATTCAAAGATTATAGTTCAATTTTTTTTTTTTTACATATATGGTACTTACACCGATATATAGGGTATAAAAAAACCGGAAGTCCACAAATGACTATATTAGGTATATGCACTATGGTATACAAGTAATCAGGCAAAGCTGCTCACCTAATTCCATAAATATACCCACTCACAACGAATACACCCAAAAGATATTTTTCATGTGGTTTATTCACAGAGACTGAGTTGTGCATTTTACCGGACACAGATCTAATTCAGCTCTATGAGATTAAACTGCAATTGAGAAGAAAAAACAAACATAAAATTACCCACCTAGTAACACGAAGCAATAGAACAGCTATAATACTACAATATATTTCTCTATACACTTTCTCTTTCTGTAAACTATAATGAACCTCCGATTTATCAGCACTCGCACGCTTAGACCATTACCCGGCCCATTTTGACTGACACGCCACTGTCATATATCGTCTAACGGTGCTCTTAATTGTACCGCCATTGTTTCAAGTGCAGTGAACGACATGCAAAAGCCATATACGGAGCGACGTGCTATAAATACAATATATCACAACAATTCATTGAATTATGACGCCACACGCAATTTGTTAGCAGCTCGTCTTAGCGCCACGCCATAAATTGCGCCACGTTAGTGAAATTCAAATAGTCCAAATTGTGAAGCGATTTGTTGCCCAGGCTCTCAAATACATCGAAACCACCGAGACGTAAATTGTCATCAAGTGTCACCGTTTTTGCAAATTTTTGTTCCAGCTCGGTGTTGTGGGGCACGGGACGTAGAAAGTTTTCTTTTGCCGAAGTGAAACGCGCCCAATTCAAGCGATTTTCATTACATATATGCACCTCGGGGAAAACGATGCGATAAACCGGATAATTTGTTGAGTTAATAACTGTTTGTTGTACCGCGCATTGAGCTTTTGTATCACGATGATCAACATGCCGAGCGCACAGGGGAAGCCAACGGTCCAAAATAGGCTGAAAGCAAGAAAGACGTCATTGTGTATGTGTGTTATGAGTCCTTTATGAGAAAAATTTGTTCAAGTTTTGCGTCATCTTGAATGCCGTTGTGTGAAAAAAATGTTGATACATGCGCAAATAATGTGTCAAAAGGGTGGATGGGCTCCAAATGATTACTGTTAATAAATTGTATAATATTATTATTTTTCAAATATTTTCTTTTTATTATGCTTTTGCAGCATGTTGCTACAGAGCATAATAGATTTTTTCATTACTATTATTATTATTATATTTTTATATAGATATTTTATAAATTTTTTTTAATACTTTTTTACTCCTTTCAATCAATTGTGATTCATATTTGCCTTGAATGTCTTGTTTAAGCCATGTATGTTGGTCTGCTGACCGAATTCGGAGTACTTGTTTTACGATTTTTAAATATTTACTCACTTTCTCCCGCGACGGATAATGCCGGGTCAAACGTTGATTTGGTGCGACCTCTTGTGGTAATAACTCATCTAATATACTTTAAATTTGTATACCTGAATTCGTTTGACATCGTTGAGACCGCGGTGTTAACACGTGCACCTTCACTTGCGCTGCTGGTGGCGCCGCCAGGCGACTTTATATTGAACGCATGTTACATATTACTGTTAGGCATATAAAATGTTCACTTTTACCCTCGAGGTAAACGAGTCTGTAGGTTGTTTTTATTTACTAGTGTCAACTGTTAATATTTTACAGCCTAGCGCTGGCGCTCGAGTGAAATAGTGTGCACCAATAAAGTTTATAAGCATTGCCTGTATTTGCCGTTATGTGACCTGCGCTATTTAATTTATTGTAATAATGAATAGTTGTAATACAAACACATTTAATTTTGATTGTTGTTTGATTGCAACTGCGGCGCTGACAGGCGGCATTCAATCGTCCACATACTATTCAGTGGTAAAGAACTGGATGAGAGTGTGTTGGTGCCTACATTGAATATGTGTTAATTTGTTGTTCTAAATGGCACGTGTAGTGCATATTTTAGAAATGCAAAATTACAAAGTGTTTAAAGAGCTAATTATATGACAACTTGCTTCAGCCAATTGCTTTCATTTAAGGCTTATCTCTTAGAACTTAAGCTTATAACGATTTTTGCTCAGCAATAATTTTACTCTTATTTATCAGGTGAATCTATATCACAAACACATATCAAGATCGTGTATTAATAATTTATACTGCCAGAACTATAAATCCCTTTTCACCAATTTTAATTTGTACGTTAGTTGGTGTGGTTTTACTGCAGAAAGTCTCTCATACCTTGAACTTTTTTCTATTAAATGCATATTTTTTTAAATCTTCAGAGCTTTATGATGCTAAAAAGTGATCTAAATATTGAGACATGAAATATGGTCTACATGGCTTTGATGCAACTGAAACTATAATATGTATACACCAATATGTACTTAGCAAAGACGCACACCTTATACGAGAGTCATGAAGACGGTTGACATCAATTATATTATATTATAATTTGAATTCAATAAGAAACACAGTAGTAAATATCCAAACATTTATTTCATTTCTAATACCTACAATACAATGAGATTCGTCAGTAATAGACTTCGACTTTTAGTTCAGAAAACCCGATAAGAAACCAATACGCAATCATGGTAAATCAATTAACCCACCCTAAAGATCATACTCTACCATTAAAACAATCAATATCATATTAAAGAATCTTGCTACATAACTTAACTACAAGAAATACTGGATGATGCACAAATATTATTCAAAATAACTTAATTTCAAAACTTCGGCTGTGCCCTGTACACATCCCGATATTCTCTCAACTTAATTTTAGTCTGCTCGACCCTGGAAGGTCTTCGTCTTAGTTGATGTGGCCGCCCTTGCTTCTTCCTAATACGTCTCGGTGCGACTATAAAAAAGAAGTAAACCAGCTCGACAATACTTATAAGAGAACAGCCTAAAAACAGTCCGGTGGTGCCGCCAAATGAAACTGTAAAGAGAGAGTTGGATAAAGAATACAACTGTAATAGCTAAACCTTAAAAATCGTACCAATCAAATCGACCCAAGTGAAAACCAAAATCGTCTTATATTTCGTAAAGAAATCTTTTTCAAAATACACGTCTAAATCAACTATAGTGCGGTTCTCCACAGATTCCGTGTGCATAAAGTCTCTCGATTTGATTGCAACAAAGTAGCGCAGGGAATCGCAGCTCACAAAACAGCTACACACAATGCCTGGATATTGGCTGGACATGTACTTCTCCTGACCAGGTATCTCGAAATTGACTAGATAGTCTGTGAAAGAAATTATGAACGCTAATAATGTAAGAAGTAACCGTTTATGTGTTCGATTTACTGTTATATTTTGCCAAGCAAGGTAAATCCACGAGTCTGCAGTGTGGATAAGGGCTCGGTGGAAAAAAAATATCCAAAGTACAGTTACAATACTTCATGAGATACTCCTGCTGGCACTCAGATTGACAATTTTCGAAGCGATAGCGATGACCATAAAGCGTTTTGAAGTCATCACTATTCTGCTCATCCTGTAAATAAGTTATAGGAGGCAACTTGTTAAGGAGTAAGCTATGTATAACCGCGCACACACACCTTAAATACGCAACCACGTTCACTGGAAGGTACGCGCCTAGTCTCGTCTTCATACTTATTAAGGAAACCATCCAAAGTGATGCGCGTTCGCGTCTGACCGGGAATATCCATTGGTATGTAGTACCAGACGTTCGGTTCCACAATCATTACCTGCAAAATATGAGTTAAAGCAATCAAAGCCAACTTAATTGGTAAGCAACTCACCGTTATGCCATCAATACCGCCTGTGAAATGTTGTTGTTTATTCAACATAACCTTAACGGCGAGGCCCGCATACTTCCCACCTCTATCCGTGCGCCAGGGCCAAGTTGAGTTGTGCCTTTTAGGCATTTCCACCGAATTGAAAGCTAAACAGAAACCTAACTGTGAGCGGCGCTCCATGAAGATGTCACAACACTTATGCACGTGACTCTGCCATTTGCAATGCGTGAGTATCTCCCAGCAACGCCAGGCCATAAAGCGTGCAACGGCAGTGAAATTGATATAATTCAGTTCATGTAACGGAAATTTCTCTAACTGCGCGAAACGATCGAACTTACCGAAGGTGAACGTGTCGTAGAGTCCAATTATTTCGGTAAAGAGCTCTTCTTTGGAGTTATTGCGATGCGTCGGTAGCAGGAATTTATTCTTCGCCTCTAGTAGACGCGACCAGTTAAGCCGATTCTTATTGCAAATCGTTACCTCGGGGTATTTCACTTTACGTAATGGAAAGTGTGTATTTTCGACGACTGTCTTGAATTGTCCTTTCGCAAAGCGTGACGCGAGAAAGAGGCAAACGCAGACCAGTAGTATAAAAGCGATAACGAATGCGATCGTGCTGAGAGCGCTGCAACAGGAATGTGTGTATCAGAATAATTTGTTTTGTTGCAACTTCACCGTTATCATAACTTACCGCTCCAATTTCCCCACACCCGGCGCCAACATAACGTTTACGCCATGAAATGTGGTCTCCTGGCCGAACTCTTGCACCAAATTCACTAAAACTTTGCAGTCTTTCTCACATGGACTCGATTCTTGCACGCTAACCCTCTTTGCACTAGACAAACCTCTGAAGTTAGACATTCTTCGAGAGACATGGCGGGTTTTGAAAACTATCGGTGATAGCATTATTAGCCCAATCGGCAGTGTTTTATTTATTTTAATGTTAATAAGCTTCAAATATGTCCACTCAACTTCACTCAAGAATGAGTACTTTCTATAATGCAAGTGAGTGCTTGCACGCGCCGGTCCGTGTGTAAAAATGACTCTCGTAGGCAATTGACTGACCGCGAAAAACGGAGTTTTGCATGATTTTTATACTTTTGCCAGACCAGCGACTGACCTTGTGCTAATTTGTGGAGCGTGCCTACTCATACACAGACACACCAACACTTTTATTTGAATGTCTGCTTCGTTATCGTTTGGAAAGTCGGATTTTGTCTGAGTTCTTTGCATTTATGCACGTTTGATTGACATTTGATTGAGTTTAAAATTTTCTGATAAATTTGCAAGTTTATTAACAGCCCTTTTGCACAAAATCTAAATGATTAACGGTACATGCAAAGGAATGTACGTATATATGTTGTATTGCATTCATATATATTTATAATTACAAGCACGTGTAAGTAAATTTTACAAGGTTCGCATATTACATTAACGCTTGCAAAAGAGTTTCACTTAACAGTGAATAAGTGACACGCGAGTAATTAGGACTCAACATTACACAACGGCGCATTTTGGGTTAGTGAGCGAATTTTGTAATTAAAATGTAAACGAATAAACTAATTAAGTAGTTGCAATTTAAGTAGTGCTAGTGCTAGTAATTACGTCATAAACGGAAGGAAATAATGTTCACAATTTTATGAAATAATTGAAGGGTTTATCAGACATTCTAGCAAAATGTTGCATAAAATTTACTCAAAATCCAACAAAGGACTCAAATACATAAGATGATCATCACAAAATACTTATTTACAGTCTCATCGCCTTTCATTGGTTTCAGCACAAACTTAAGGTCAAACACAAACTAAAATTCGATAGAGTTTCAACGCGCACAATTAAATTTAAACTAATTTAATTTCTAAATTGATTTGACGAACTTTAAACTGAGTTCAATTACAACGGATATTGATATTGTGCTTACAATACTCAGATTTAAATTAAGTAAACACTAAAAATCACGTGAAAGCTCTAAAAATCCTTAAATAAGAATCAAGTTAGACAAGTCAACTTAAACCCAAAACTAGTCCAACTTACAGACAAACACAAGTTACGACCAAACCTCAAATACGAGCTTCAGTTCAAAAAACTCAACTCCTACCAAAATTAAACTTTCACTCAAAAACTATATTTTTGCTTTAAATCTTTTAAGCATCATTTAAAACTCTAATACTGACTTTTACCGTTTTCCGTATTAATTTTAAAATTCAATTAAAATTAATTAAAACTCTTTCAATATAAAAATAAAATCTGAACATACTGAAATTTCAACTCCAACTCAACTAAGAATTTCCACTAAAATTAGTAACTAATTTTTTGAAAACCGTTTTTATATAAATTTAAATTATTTTCGCTGCGTTCCCTGTACGAGCGCAACGCCGGTCGGCTATATGGTAATTTGTGGTGTAGTTTTCCGTTGTCTATTCGGCTGCTTAAGCGATGCTGAGGCACTTTCACGAAAAAGAAGTATAACAACTCCACAAGGTTTACGAGAGAGCAGCCAAGAAAGAGAGCAGTGATGTTGCCAAGATTATCTGAGAAATGTTAGGTTAGATTAGCAATAATAGATCTAAATGGTATTTTATACTCACAAAGCAAATCGATCCAAGTGTATACTAAATTCGTTTTATAGACGATAATAAAATCCCGTTGGAAGTTTATATCCAACAAGAGAGTATCGTTCGTTTTCCAATGCTCTTTCGGTTGCAGAGGTCTGGTACGTACTTTTATATTATATCGCCACGAACGACAGTTGTAAAAACACTTGCAGACCATACCAGGATGATTGTGGATAGAGGGCTCCTTAATTGACTCCTGGAAATATTGAACAAGATCTGAGAAGAAAAAGTTTATTTTTTATATTCATTCCAACATAATTCCAATCCTTACGGTGCCAAAACGTGCCAAACAAGGAAAGTCCACCAATTTGCATATTGGATAGGGTCCGATTGGGAAAAATATTTCCACAGTGCAGTTACAAAACTTCATTAGGTGCTGTTGCTGGCATTCAGCGAGGCAATTCTCATACATATAAACGTGACCGGTAAGAGTTTTAAAGTCGGGACTATCCTCTTCGTCCTGCAATACATTGGATTGTGTGAGTGTGAATTCTGAGTCAAGCACATGAGCTTGCATAGTGATTTACCTTAAAGACGCATTGTCGCTTCGTTGACGACACACGCTTCGTGGCTGGATCGTAGAAACTCATAAAGGCATCGAGGTAAACACGCGCATAAACATCCTTCGGTATATCTATAGAAGAAAAGCTCCAGACATGGGGTTGCACATTCATGATCTACAGAGGTTAAAAGTTTCAAATTTTCAATAAACAAAAATGCGAACACTTTCTCTCTCAACTCACCGAAATACCTTTCGAATTGGTCGAGTACGGCGAATGCTTATCTTCATTCAGTAATGTGCGAACTTGCAGACCGTTCCTCAAACCACCGTCGCCCACACGCCATGGCCACTTCGAGTCCATTTTCTGTTTCAAAAGCCCTCTAGACGATTCTACCGAATTGAATGCCATGCAGATGCCCAAATTCGAGCGCCGTCTTATGAAGATATCGCAACAGTTCACAGGGTGATAACGCCACACACAATCCGTTAGCAACTCCTCACAACGCCAAGTCATGCTACGCGCCACCTCAGTGAAATTGATGTAATTGAGTTCCGCTATCGGCTTATCCGTTAGATTCGCGAAACGTACGAAGTAGCCGAACATGAATGTGTCATACATGGCGACAATCTCCACGAATAGCCGCTCGTACGAAGTGTTATGATGTGCATGCCACAGAAATTTGTGCTTTACCTCTTCCAGGCGCGCCCAATTCAAGCGATTCTTATTGCATATAGTCACTTCGGGAAAGGGTACCTTGTAGATGGGGTAATTGGTGGAGTATATGGTGGTTTTCAATGCACTATGAGTAAAGCGTTTGGCAAGGTATTGACTGAAATAAATGAGTAGGCACAGTGAGGACACGACGCACAGAGCCCAAAGTGCGCTGAAGGTATGAGAAAATACTAACATTTCGATGTTTCTAATTTTCAAGATATCGCAGAAGACTTACCGTTCCACTCGTCCGGTACCAGTGCCAAGCATGCGCTTCAAACCGTGCCCGCTTGTTTCTCTACCATATACATCAAACTCCTGTTGACAAATGTCTTGACAGTTTTCGTATTTCGAGTGACTATCTTCTTCAGTTTTACAGGAATGAGAATTTCCACTCTTTGGCTTAACCTTTACAACGTAAATATTCTTTTTCATGTTTCCTGTTGATGACGGTTTCATAACTGAGTCCAACGGTGTTGTAGATCGACTTTCCAGTAACCAACAGGAAGGTGCTCGTGAAGATAGAAAATTTATATATTATATGTTGGAATTAGTTTCTACAGTTCTTAGAGTCACAACACCGTCATTTCATCTTCAATGGATTTTCACTAGCACACTTCCATACTTAATATAAGAAGACAGTTTAGTGACCGAAGAAATCGCCGAAGTGCCCTTCAGCGACTTATATGAATAAAGAACAGTTTGAGTTTTAAATAAGGTGGAGTCGAAAAAACAGACAACTTTTCAAGGTTTCAAAACAGCCGTCTAAAAGCGATGATAGCAAATGGTTAGCTGGAGCTCAAGATATATATTGTAGATAAATAATAAAAACAGTTATGAGGCAGAAAATATTGAAATTTGTAGCTCCAGCTACAGCTTATATTTTAAACAGATCTATGAGGATTTGCAGTAAAAGGTTGTGTTGAATCTGTTCAGAATTCTTGAAGTAGCATCAGTCTGTGTCCTTTATATGTAACGAGGTGTAACTGACTGACCATTCAAGTCGTGAGAGATTTATTTATAAATTCAGTACGCAAAATTGATATTATATATATTTAATAAGAATTATTTAATGCCATTGATTAGACAAACATTTTTTTCACTTTGTGTTTGAATAAGGTTAACAAAACACAAGCAGAAGTAAACGGAGACATTAAAAGCAGAGAGCTACTATCTGGGCTCTTCTGTTAAATACCTCCAAAGTTCTGCGATCTTAAACTAAATAACTCCCAAAAACCAGTTTTAGAATATTTCCTTTTTAGAAAAAATATATATTCACAAAAATTCTGAAAAGTCTATCTTTACACTTTCAAGTTCTGTTTATTCTGTCCAGTTCAGAAACACCGTTATTAACTACAACCAGAACCGGTGAAGTCCTACTATTTATATCAATATTCAATTATTTATTTAATTACGTTCCTTTATTTACTTCTTAAGTGTCCTTTATCACTTTCAAAGCGCATATTAATGCAACAGAGTCTATTTACATTGCAAACAACCGATTTGGTTACTAATTTCTCACACACTCTCGTATTTTGTATGTAAATATTTTTGTTTGCAAACCAAACCCGCCGATGACAAAGTTAAACTCACAACAAAGCGTGGAAATCAGAACCGAGAGCATAAATCAGAAAACCGCTTATGTACCTTGAGGCAGGCGTTCACCGTGTCGTGCCAGCAGCACACGTGACATGGAGACCATGACCCGATTGAATGCGCTCAGAAGCCCGGCAACAATTGCATGTGGAAAACTTTTTGCAAATCTTTGTAAATAATCATATTTATGGTACAAACGGTAAACATTTGCAAGCGCACTCAGATACACAAATACAGAAAGCGCGCAGACATTAATTGGTACGCATATTGACAAATACACGGAAACATACACTCATAATCAAATAAGCCCCGACGGTCAGTGGGTGATAATAAATTTGTGGTCATAAGTCAATAAACCATTGACTAGGTAAACATAGGGCCCTCAAAGGAAAAAAATAGAAGAAAAAAAAGCAAATAGTTTTCTAGCCAGTCTGGTAAGCTCTAGTTTTGGTTTACTTTCAGTTAGCATCGGACCGCCAATCGACCGCGATAAAATGGCTTATCCAGCACGCTTTCAGGCACCACAAGCCAATGCGCTGCGGCTGTCCTACTCGCCAGGTCACACGCCATTGCCACAAAAGCCGCGCATGATAATACAACTGCCATCGTGGAAGAAAATACGACGCACGGCCGGCGAGTTCAGCGCTTCCGCCTGGGAACTGGCCTTCCGCTTCGGCCAGAGCACGACTATACACGGCGTCAATCGGTTGTTCAGTAGGCGCGCTGGAAAGTGCGAACGGTGAGTAATTATGGTTAGCTACTTCAATCCATTTACAACAAATGCTTTTAATTTCCCTTACTACAGCTGCGTCTGGTTCTTCACCGTCATGCTTGCTCTGCTTGGCGCCATTTACGTCAGTCACTTGCTCTCTGATCGCTTTAGCGAAGGACGACTGGAGACTGTGGTGGATAGCACGCGCTGGCCCGTCTAT